GGTATTCTGGTGCAAGGCCATTCAGTGCTTTATAACTCAATAGCAGTATTTTATAGTCAATCCGTGACTTAACTGGAAGTCAATGAGGGGAGGATAAGACTGGTGTAATGCGATCAAATTTTTTAGTGTTTGTGAGAACTCTGGCTGCTGCATTCTGTACCAGCTGAAGTTTATGTAAGGATCCAGACGGGCAACCAGACAGGAGGGCATTACAGTAGTCCAGTCTGGAAGTTACAAAGGCATGCATTAATTTTTCTGCATCATGAAGGGGAGAGCATCTTACGAAGCTTGGCTATGTTCTGTAGATGATAAAACGTAGTTCTAGTAATGCTTCTTATGTGAGCATCAAAACATAGATCTGCATCAACTAGAAGACCAAGATTTCTAACCACCGTGTTAGGTTGTGTAGGAAGGCCACCAATGTTGAGGTGGTGAAACTTATTTTTCTGCAGCCTTGGGACCAATTACCAGTACTTCTGTCTTTTCTGTGTTTAACATAAGGAAATTTTTTGCCATCCAGCACCGGATATCTAATACAGTCTACTAATCGAGAGAGCAATGACGCTTCATCAGGCTTAACATATAGTGTATATATATATATGTTATATAATGTGTATCATCTGCATAACAATGAAACCTAACACCATGATTTCTAATAACGTTACCAAGAGGCAGCATATATAAAATGATCAGTAGGGGGCCCAGTACTGATCCCTGTGGGACACCAAATTTAACTTTGGTGGCATTGGAGGATACATTGTTCACATGGGCATACTGATAGCGATCAGTTAAATAGGAGCGGAACCAAGAGAGAGCTGTCCCATTAATGCCAACTACACCTTCTAACCGGTCCAAGAGGATATTATGGTCCACAGTATCGAATGCTGCAGTTAAATCTAGTAATACTAACAGCGATATACAGCCACGGTCAGAAGCCATAAGTAAATCATTCATTACTTTGACTGAAGCTGTTTCTGTGTTGTGGTTTGGTCTAAAGCCAGACTGATATAATTCATTAGTATTCTTTTTCTGTAGGAAAGAAGACATCTGACGGACTACAACCTTTTCCATGATCTTTGAAATGAACGGAAGATTTGAGATGGGTCTATAATTTCCTAAAACACTAGGTTCAAGATTTGGTTTCTTTAGGACGGGTCTAATAGCAGCCATTTTAAAAGGTTTGGAACATATCCAAGCCTAAGAGACGAGTTTAACACATTTAACAGGGTAGTGCTAATCAGCCGTGCAGTTTCCTTCAGGAATTTTGTAGGCTAGCAGAGGATTTACAGGAGGAAACTATGCTCAGAAGTTCTGACTTTTACAGGAAGAAAAGATTCATACAATGTTCTTTGTTCCTTTCTTTCATAATCAGCATATCTACTCTTATTTTACATTGTCATCAAACAAAAAAAAAGATCTTAGCGTAATAGAATCTCACAATGCAAATACAAAAAGGGTGAGTTTTGTGGATCAGCTGGTATCAGTGTACAACTCGCTGCTTCAGCCTGGAGATGATGATTCCTGCACTGTGCTCCTCTCTTGTTTAGATTCAGCTTTTAGCTGCATGTTCCTGAATTGCCTTTGCTGTGTGCCTGTGTGTGTCCTGGGCTGGCATCCTTGTCCGGCTGTGCCCTCACTGCAACCCAGCACTGCATAAGCAGTTATGGAGGATTGATGGACCCCGAAACTGCAGGTCACTGGATGCATGTATCACTAAACAGATGCATCACCCACGCAAACAGGATTTCTCCCTCAATGTCACTATGAACATTTGGTGTTTACCTTGCACTTCATTGCGTTTTTATACAGTCGACCTTTCTGCATCGTAGTTCTGCCCATCACAGTTTTGATGCATCAGGGAGTCTGCATGAGAAGCTAAATGGAATCCGCAGATAACACGAAAAGTTTTGTGACTCAGAAATGCGTAAAATATACGTATGATGCTGTTTTGGAGGACGCCAAACGTGTTTATGGCAGCTTCTCGTGTGATATCTGCCATTGATCTCGCAGTGATCTTTGTATCTTGCGTTTCTCATTTCTTTTCCCTTCACTCACCAAGGGGACCCGAAAAATGTTACGTGTTTTTTTTTTTCCCAGATCAAGGGAGCCTGCACCCCTAACCCCCACCATGTGGAAGGGTCAACTGTACTATTGTTTGTTAGCTCTGTTAAAATGCACCGTAAATAAACTGGGTGATGCTGATTTTGCACGCAGTTGTCCATGTTTTTAACTCTTAGGTCTCCTTAATGCAATGTTTCCCAACCCAGTCCTCGGGGAACCCCGGACAGTCCACATTTTTGCTTCCTCTCTGCTCCTGTACCAGGTATTCGGTGTTCCTGATTGGCTGGGAGCTGGGAGGGAGCAAAAATGTGGACTGTCCGAGGTTCCCCAAGGACTGGGTTGGGAAAATCTGCATTAATGAACCAGTGGCAGTTCAGAATTACGGCATGGAGGTTACATTCTGACTGCTAGCCGAGACAAATGCTGATGGAGGTCCGCTAAACCGGACATCAAGAAGAGAAAGGTGTCAAAGTAATGTGGAGGTTTAGATCTGAGGATTTCTGCAGCCGGACATCTACATTAGGGATGTTCTAGTTAAAGGCGGCCTTTGAAATGTATTATTAAAATGTAATACGGCCCAACGGAAACATTAATTTAATTTGGTTGCAGTGTATTTCACAGGATTCTGTAGCGTAAATTACAAACGACTAACTCATTGGTGAAATATTAAATAGCAATATTAAATTCTGTTATTTAAATTGATTGCACCATGTCTAATAATTAATCTTACAATAAACAAATACAAATGTATATTAATATTGAACTAGTTTGTGAATGCACTGAAATTTAAACTATTTAAAGTAGTTCTACTGTAGAGCTTGTAGTTTACACATAAAATATGACAAATAATTTCTAAAATCTTTGGCAAAAGGCAAATTCCCTTTAAACATGTCCTCATATTGCTGCAGGAAGGCACCATTATCTGGCAGGTATAGATCACAAACACCCACTAAAATAGCAACGCTGGATTCACTTTCATAAGATGAGTCTTTATTGCTCCAGCTTTAGGACAGAGTGGAATTTTAAGCCGGGTATTATATTCACAAAATCACAGATTAACCTTCCACCTATGTTGGCAGTTACTGCAGGCTGTATAAAAATAGAAGATCCAGCCTACCAGGCATTTTGAAACTGCACATTTATGCTTGATAGTCACCCATTTCAGATTTCCAATCCACAGCTGTCCATATTTCATCCGTCTCACACATACTGGATTTTAGAGAGAGAAAATATGATAGACATTTTTTTTCCCCCCCAGAATGAAGTTGAGGGTTCTTTAGCATCTGTCACTGTGCCATCGACATACCACAAAGCACAATAAGCTCAAAGCGAAAGAAAAATTACGATTAACACTTTCGTATCGATGCCTTAAAACCTCCGATGATGCTTTAATGCCAGAAGACCCACAGGCAGACACACGTCCTTAACAGTAGATAAAAATTTACAATTTAAGACCAGCCGTCGGCATTGCTATTCCCGTAGTGCATCTCTAGGTTCCACTGAGCAGCTTCCAAATTAATCTTTTTTACACGCTCTGCTTGGTGCATTTACATGTACATGTGGCAAATGATTATTTATTTCTTTTCACTTTTCACATTCTAGAGCAAGGGAGGCCAATCTCATCTGCAAAGGGCCGGTGCGTACGCAGCTGTTTGGGATAACCTTTAGGTCAACTGTACAAATCCAGCTGTGAGGACTCTTCAGCCAATTAGTCCTCTAATTAGCAATCTAATAAGGGAGTTTCAGTGAAAACCCGGATAGAAACTGGCCCTTTCTGGATAAGATTGCTCAGCCCTGTTCTACAAACATCCATCCACCTACTGGGAGCATGGCCAGTTAATCCCACTGCTGCCAATTAAACATTTTCGGGGTGGCGTGTGACACAGTGGGTTAGGGCCCCTATGCCCAGCGACCCGAAAGCCGCTGGTTCGAATCGCAGGGCTGACAGCTTGGGGGCGCCGCTGAGTCCTTCAGCAAGGCCCTTAACTGTGGCTTCAGGTGTGGTTCGCTGGCTCATCCTGTGCTGGGACACCCAAGCTGCCTCTCACCTATATGTGTGTCTCATGGAGAGCAAAGCGGGGTAGGAGGTACAAAGAACGTTCCTATGGAGATGCATAAGGTATCCCTATTCAATCTACCCATCCATTTCCCAGCTGCATATGCAGTTTATGGTCATGGGGATTCTCAGAAAAACTCACGCCGGACCCACTTGCATTATAGACTTTTTGTAAATCTCCAGTCGTTCTTCTACTCGTACTGAGCTACATGTCCTTGGCCAAGCATCTTTCACAACCAGTCACAGGTGTCAGACATTGCTGCTGGAACCAGAAATAGATTTTTTTCTTCTTCTACTACAGATACATAATTTCATGCTTAATGTCATTTCATGAATGAATTGAACTTTTAGGAGCAATGCCAGGCCCTTTATGAGCATCAGGCATGATGAATCACCTTGAGCTTTAACCAAATTACATTTTTCATTAGGACATCATTGTACCCCACCGAAAACAGCTGAGCTAATCAAGTACCTGAAAGGGACTATAAGACACTAGTGCAGTGCTTCCCAACCCGGTCCTCAGGAACTCCCAGCCAATCTGTGTCTTTCTCCCTCCCAGATCCCTGCCAGACAGTCCACATTTTTGCTCCTCCCCAGCTCCCTGCCAGACAGTCCACATTTTTGCTCCCTCCCAGACAGTCCACGTTTTTGCTCCCTCCCAGACAGTCCACGTTTTTGCTCCCTCCCAG